AAAGCCACACTATGACATCTGGGGCAACACAGTGAACGTGGCCAGCAGGATGGAGTCCACCGGCGTGATGGGGAACATACAGGTGGGGTGATGAGGAGGGGACAAATTGGCAACCCATGGAGGGGTGCAGCCCTTAAAACACCCCAGGCTGTGGGTGGGAGAGGGAAAAGTGCTACTGGGAGCACACAGGAGGGCTGGGGCTGGCTCCTCTGAGCTGGGCACAGGGCAAGGTGATGCTCAAAGGGCATCCCAGGACAATGGGGTAGGAGCTAGGCTGGTGGGTAGACCTCACAGGGCAAGGTGACGCTCAAAGGGCATCCCAGGACAATGGGGTAGGAGCTAGGCTGGTGGGTAGACCTGTTGTCCAAGCAGCATATGGGGGTCCCTGCTCCCCATGCCATGTGCCGTGCAAGGACTTCCCAGCTGCCCAACATGTCCCTGCAGGTGGTGGAGGAGACCCACCTCATCCTGAAGGAGTACGGTTTCCGCTTTGTGCGCCGGGGAGCCATCTATGTCAAGGGCAAAGGAGAGCTGCTCACCTTCTTCCTCAAGGGCCGGGAGAAGCAGGGCTCATTCCAGGAGAGGAAAAACAACATCATGGGTCTTCGTCTTGTAGAACTTCACTCAAACTTAGCTTCAAAGAAATCAATTAAGACATGTTACGTATGCAAAGCTCATCCTCATGTATGCAGTTACAGGATCAGAGCATAGAGAACACACTAAACTCCAGCCTGTACACTCAACAAAGAGGGCTGGATAGGGCGTTCTGTCTGACCTTACTGGCTGGCCGGCCCCCCCCCCCCCCCCCCCCCCCAGCCACTGCCTCCCAGCGTCGAGCAGGGCGGCTCAAGGAGGGACCCAGGGACGTCCACCCCACTGCAGTCCAGATCTGAAACCAAACTTGAGAAACCAACCCCTTGGTACAAGCCTTTCCAAGCCCCTGCTGGAGGTTTCTGGTGGGAGGTTTGCTCCATTGAGCCTGCAGCTGAGCAGGAGGGAGACACAGGCTCCTCCCGCCACTCATGCCCTTTCCAGCCACTCATGCTCACGTGCAAGCACACACCAGCTCGCAGCCCCCTGTGGGCATGGGGCCGGGGACACATAGCTGCACCACCAGCCATGCAAGGGGACAGTACGACATTAAAGTAGCACCACGGGCCCTGGTTGCCACGTGCTCGGCACGAGGAGATCCAAACTCAGGGCTGGATGGGAAGACACCACATCTCTTCTGTGTGCCGGGTGAAACCGAGAGCATTCGGGACTTGCTGTTAGTTTGTACGAAGTTCATCCTCGTCACAAACCACCGCAGTCAGGAGATGGAGATGGGGAGCACAGTGCTGCCTTTGACTTGGGGAAGAAGAAAAAGGAACCAATATTGTGTATTTCAGATATATAAATATATATAAGAGTACAGATTGACATTTATATTTTTAACTGTGCCTGTTCCCTCCCTGCAGTGGGGCTTGCGCTTGTCTGGACACTGCCCCGTGGATGCTGCAGTCACTTCGCTCTTGCTTGATGGAAAAGAGGACAAAGGACCAGCCAAGGAGGGTACCAGTGTGTTAAACCCGGTGCTGCCAGGACTGGGGGGAGAAGGGAGGCACACACAGATTGTAATTACGCCGCTAATTTCTTGAATAGAAGCAGTTGAATTTCAAAGCCTGATTTTGCGCCTGCTCTGTTGTGGGGGTTTGGATATGGTGGGAAGGGCTTGGTTGCCTTTCCAAGGGGAAGTTGTCTTTGGAGGGATCCTCAAAACGGAGGCTGAGCACCTCCCACCAGTGGCATTCACTCCTCTGCCTCCCTGGGGCTCCACTGGCTCTGGCAGCAGAGTACCTCAACACTGGGAATGGCGATAAGAATGATACAGGAGTTTAATCCCCACCCTGTCAGGCAGAAGGAAAGCCACATCCACAGCCTTGCACTCGCAGGGCCTGGGCTGCAGGTCTGCAGGTGCAAAGCAGCACCCACAGGGATCCGTAATGATGCTGGAGAGGGGAAGTCACCCACACCACCCAGTGCATCCCTCCAAGGGTGCTCATAGCCCTCAATACAAGCTGAGAGGCACGGTGGGTCTTACAGCCTGGACCTGCCTCCCTCTGTCCCACTCACACAGGGTGTTATGCCCAAGACAGGTTAAGCCTGGCTTTGCCACAGTGGCCTCGGTGACAAGCTGTGACACTTCACCCCAGCAGCTTAAGGGTCTGGTTCCCACTGATTTGTCCCTAAAGCACAGCCCAGCCTTTCCTCAACAGGAAGGTGCACAAGATTAAAGCAGCATCGTCTGTGAACTTGCAGCTGCCCTTCAGGTGCAGTCATAAAAAATGAGAGATGGGAGAAAATACAGTCATTTAAATCCCATTTTATTCTACTAAGCCACATTATAAAGCTAAAGGAAATCAACAGACAATTTTTTCTAAACATGACAATTTTGGTAACACAGAACTTTTATTAACAAGACATTAAAGCACTGCTACAAGACAAGTTTTAAGGATCTGATGCAGACTTGAAGCATGACAGGGCACCAGTAAAGCTGCCTCATGCCTGACAGGCAGGAAATAGCAGCTGTAATGGCACTGCTGGTATGACGTTTTCTGGTAAATTCAGTGTTCAGGCTCAGGGGTTGGGGGTTAACACAGCCCTGGTGAGGGCAGGGATTGCTGCTAGAAACAACTAAACCTCACCTCTGTCCCTCACCCCTTTCAGCTTCTAAAACAAAGTCCTTTCCTGCCTGTAGTAATCAGGACACCAATTATGCTGCTTGGTCCCCTCTTTTTGGGATGTGCTGGATAACCCACAGGGCATTGCCCCCAACATACCGAGATCATGAAGGTTTAATATAATGTCTAATCCCAGCTGTGAGACCTCTCCTGCACCCGTGGAGTTCTGTGGCACCAATCTCAGAGGTCAGCACTCAGACATGCGAGCAGCACGGTGCTGTGGGAAGATTACCTGCAACAAGAGAGCCTGAAAGCCTCAAGGCAACATTGCTCAAGATTCACACAGGACCGCTCGCTCCTCGGGGGTACCCAGCAGTGGTGCAGCAGTCCATGGACAACGTTTGTGTTTTGAGATGAGCTCTGGCATGCAGGGCAGCTGGGAGACCAGGGTGGCTTATGGTGTTCCACCCAGGGTTTCTCCTGCGCTGCTAAAAGAGCGGAAGGCTTTGTGCAGGGGCATGCGGCGGAACAGGTCTGAGTGAGCTGTGGCCGTCTCTGTTAGAGATGAGGGAGCATCCGCTGGCAGGGAGAAGGGTGGATCAGTGGGGAAAGGAACACCATATTGCTGACAGAAAACTATTTGCTTCTCATTCTTCCCCTGTCCCGAGGGAGTCTCTCGCTCTCCCATGCCTTACAGTTTTTCTTCTCATAACCCTTCACCCTCTTTCCAGATCCTCTATGTCCTGCAGCTCCCCCATGGGATTTGATGGCTGCAGAAAGCAAGTGCCATAAGAAATACCCACTGCCAAAGGGTGAGGACAGCAATATGGGAGTCTCAGTCACCTCACTGCTCTCTTATCTCAGAAGATGCCCATTGGATCAAGTCCACAGGAGGCCACAAGGATGCTCCAAGGCCTGAAGCACATCTGCTACAGAGACAGGCTGAGGGAGCTGGGTTTGTCATAGAATGGTCCAAACCATTCTATGATTAAGACTGACAGCTTCCGAGTTTCTGGCTAGATTTGCTCACCAGACTCTCCCACATACACAGAGCACACTAGCACAGGCTAGTCTCTGTCCATTGGACTTGTGGAAACAGTGTCCTGATCCAGCTGGGACTGTACCAGACTCCGCATTTTGAGTAACTAAAAACTGGGAACGAGCAGCCTATCTGTCTGAAATGATCCAGGCTTGCTCTCAAACCTTTCCTTTCCCATCCCCATCATATTTCCCTCCCTCCAGCCATCCCATCTTGCCAGTGTTGCAAGAGATCTGTGCTAGGGATGAATTACAACTGCTACAAAACCCAACACTAACTACACACAATTCCTTCCGTAATCTTTTCTCCCTCAGAAATATGACAGCTTGCTCCCTTTCGTCCTTAAACTCAGCCAGAAAGAACCCCCACCCATCTGCAGAAACACAGTAGGTTCTGCCCACCCCATCTCCCCCAGACAGACCCCTGCAGTGTCCACTTACATTTGCAGGAAACAATTACTTCAGTGGGGAGGCTGCAACAGGGATCACCGTAAAGCAGCCTCACGTTGAATGGAAAAGTCTTGCTTTTACTTGACATGTTGTAATTAAAGACCAGCAAGTTACACAAGGAGTTTCTCTGCAACGTTCCTTTTATCTGGTCTGAAAAGTGTTCCTGAAGGGACAAAAACAACTTCTGAAATGTGAAGCTAGGAAGGGAGTCCACCAGCACAGGGCTGGAGCTTGCCAGGCACAGCACTCCAAGCACGAGCCTGGCATGCCTTTGAGCAGTCCTTGCATGGGAAAGACTTAAATAAACCAGTGTTCGTAAGAGTTTAATAAGCCCTTAAGCAATGTCCTCCAGCAGCTTTTTACAAGATCACACCCATTTCAGCTTAGGGGCCTCTGGAGTTTGGCAGCAAATGTTAACCAACCCACCAGACAACACTCAAGTATGTGACAATGGATGGAACTGAGTTTGCAACCATGGGGTAACTTGTGAAGTTCTGAAAACCAGAACTGTGAGTGTTCCACATAAAGAACTTCCCCCCGGGCCCAGCACTTCAGACTCGTAACACTTGGTATACCACAGGGAAAAGGATGGGTGAAGAACATGGCTGCAGCCACTGGTACCTGTAATTGGTCTGCTTGGTACCTCCTCCCAACATAAGCATTCAGGTGGTCGGACAGGACAGACAAGAAGCGCCTGATGTCAGTCTGCAAGTACTGCTTGGCAATCTGCTTCAGCGGGATGAAGGTGGGGACAGAGTGGCGGTAAATCCGCACTTCTGACTTGGTGAGCAGGTCCAGGTAGTAAGAATCTAAGTAGGTGCCCTCATAAGCCGTGCTGATGCAGAAGCACACTCCCTGCCTGGTCAGCTTCCCACCGATCCCTTGGGTCCAGAGAGAGAGAGCAGTTTACTCAGCAGTGCTTTAACTCGCTGCCACAGGACAGCTTTGTTGGAGCAACACAGGCTGCACGAGGTGCTGTGTCCTCTTCCTAGGCTAGCTCAGGGAGCTCCCTAGGAGGACTTGCAAGAGTTTAGACATAAAACACATAACCGAGTTATGCCTGCCAATTCCAAACACAGTCCTGTCTCCAACATGATAGGGAGAGCAGGGTGTGCTGGGTAAGGAAGGCAGTACTT